GGCTGAATACTAAGACATGGATGTGTCAAATGCGTTAATGGTTGGTTACCCAATGCGGACAAAGAGTGGGGTGGAGCTCCCCAATTCAAACAAGCTAGGAAGGAGGAGTGGCATCCACTTCTGTAATAGCTTGCCTCTGGAAACCCTATGAACCTGGAGAGAGGATGAAAGACACACAAGCGTTGAGGACTCTCCTTCACAGGGTCACTATAAGTCGCCTGCGACTCAATGGCACTTAACAACAACAATAGAAACACAGGAAATTTGGGTGAAATCTTCTACATCAAAGCAAAGAACTTGAACCCAACCACAACAGAACCATGTCTAAACTGGTTGCTGTCTCATCTATGCCAGGATTACATGAAGGAAAAATAAGAAGTTATTGTTGTTGGATTCTGTTGAGTACAACTCATAGTGACCCTAAGAGCAGCAGATCTGAACCCTGTCCTGTGCCATCTTCACATTTTTTAAAATTTAAATTTATTATTTCCGTAAAAATTTACAGACTTTGGATTTCCTTTCATTCATTGTTGCACATTTCTCATCTCCCCATTCTCCCCCCCTCCCCAGTACACTACCCTCTTGGAAAAGTAAAAGAAAAACTCTTTCATTGTTTTACAAACCCTCCCCTAGGTCCACTCCACCATGTAGCCATCACTCTAGACTCCTGTCATGACAGTAATACCTAATCACATATTTCTTTTAAACCGTTTTCTCTCTCATCTGTTTCAATACAGTATTGAACCCATCTTTCTCAGTCTCTCCCCAACCCCAAGGACAGTCCTGTTTTACAACAGTGGCACCATGCAGTATTTGTCCTTTTGTGACTGAGATACTTCACTCAGCATAATGTCCTCCAGAGTCACCTATTTTGAATAATATTGCATGAATTCCTTATTTTTCAATGCAGCATAGTATTCCATTGTGTGAATATACCACAGTTTCTCTATCCATTCGTTTGTTGATGGGCACTTAGGTTGTTTCCAACTCCTTGCTATTGTGAACAAAGCTGCAGTAAACATGGGTGTGCATATATCTGCTTAGATGTCAGTTAAGGTCTCTTTGGGATAATATTCCCAGTAGTGGAATTGCTGGGTCAAATGGTATCTCTATTTGCAACTTTTTGAGAAAGCGCCATACTGCCTTCTACAGTGGTTGCACCATTTTACACATTCACCAACAGTGAATAAGGGTTCCAGTTTCTCCACAACTTTGCCAGCATTTGTTGCTTGCTGTTCTGTTAAATTTTGCTATTCTAGGGGAGCTCTGGTGGCCTAGTGGCAAGAAGGTGCAACTACAATCCCAGAGGTGCACGGTTCGAATCCACCAGATGCCCTGCCGGGGAAGGAGGGGCAATCTCCTCCTGTACCAGTCAGATCTGATTTGACGGTACACACACACAAATATAATAAAGTGAAAAAAAATTTGCTATTCTGACTGGGGTGAGATGATAATCTCATAGTTGTTTTCATTTGCATCTCTCTTAGAGCTAGGGATTTTGAACATTTCTTCATATGCTTCTTGGCCATCTGAATGTCATCTTCAGTGAAGTGCCTGTTTGTATTCTGTGCCCATTTTTCTATTGGATTATTTACCTTCATTTTGTTGTGGTGCTCAAATATATAAATTCTGGATATAAGTCCCTTATCTGATAAGTTATTACCAAATACTTTTTCCCAGTCAGTGGCTTCCCTTTTTACCCTGTTGGTGAAGGTTTTGGATGTGCATAGGGATTTGATTCTTAGAAGATCCCATTCATCTACTTTATCTTCTCCTGGTTGTAGGTTATCTTCACATTTCTTGACACACCAGAGCCCATTGTGGCAGTCACTGTGTCAGCTTACCTGGTTGAAGGTCTTCCTCTCCTTCACTGATCCTCTGCTTTTCTAAGTAAGCATCATGTCCCTCGACACGGCATAGCCCATCCTAGCAACAACAGGCCCGAAGTATGTGAGGCAAAGCTTTATCTTTGCCCCCAAGGAACACTCTGGGTGCACTTTCTACAAGACGTATTTGTTTGTTCTTTTGGCAGTCCATGGGATAGATATTAAGTACTCTTCTCCAACAACACAGATCAAAGGCATCAATTCTTCTTCTGTTATCGTTATTCACTGTGCAGCTCTCAGATGCATAGCTAGTGACTGGAAAGATCATGCATGGCCTGAATCAGATGCACCTTAGTCCTCAAACTGACATCATTACTCCAAATGCTCTGGGATTCCCAATTCCTCTAAATGTTAGCCATGACTTGTTATGATCCACCCAGTCAAATGCCTTTGTATATTCAGTAAAGCATCAATAGACATTTTTCTGGTATTCTCTGTTCTCAGCCAGGATCTATCTGACATTGCCAGTGATATCCTGGTGCTAAGGCCTCTTCTAAATCTTGCTTGAACTTCTGGCAGTTCCCCATCTATGTACTGTTCTAGCCATTTTGTTAATAATCTTCAGCAGTATTTTGCTTGCATGTGATATTAATGATACTGTTTTATAGTTTCCACATTCTGTTGGATAACCTTTCTTGAGAATTGGAACAAATAGGGACCTCTTCCAGTTGTTGGCTAGACAAGTATTCTCCAAATTTTCTGGCATAGATTGGTGAGCACATCCAGGGCTGCATCCATTACTTGAAACAAGTCAGTTGGTATCCCATCAATTCCTGGGGCTTTATTTTTTGCCAATGCCTTCAGTGCAGCTTTGACTTCCTCCTTCATTCCCATTGTTTCCTGCTCATATGGTATTTCCTGAAATTTTTCAGTGTCAGTCTGTTGTTCTTGGTACAGTGACTCTGTATTCTCTTCATCATCTCTGCTTCCGGGATCATTCACTATATTGCCCATAGCATCTTTCAGTATTGTGACTCAAGGCTTAAATTTGTTTTTTCAGTTCTCTCAGCTTGAGAAATGCAGAGCAACTTCTTCCCATTTTATTCTCCAAGTCCAGCTCTCAGCACATAAAACTTTGCTTTGTCTTCTTGAGCTGCCCTTTGAAATCTTGTGTTCAGTTCTTTTACTTCAGCATCTTTTCCCTTTGTTTTGGTTTCTTGACAGTCTTGTCCAATTTTCAAAGTCTCTTCTTACATCAATTTCAGTTTTTGCTGTCACTTCTGTCTTTGTAATGACCAAATTGCTCTATGGATGATATTGTTGATATAAACCCACAAGAGCAGGATGATGTAATGAAGATGAAGTTAAATGAGAAAGCTCAAACAAGTTGAGGACGCATTCAGTGGTATGTAGTCTATCAAGACATGTGGACTAATTACAAAGCTAGAAGTTTATCGTTGAGTCCAACAGTGTAACACTTCCTTTTGTGACTGAAATAAGTCAGAAAGGTGTAAGAACTCTATGACTGACTTTTTAGCACATCAGCAGCCACTTTAGCTGTAATTCAGGCTGTATTAATATCTAGTATCACCATTAGACTATTTAATATAACCAGTATTTGAATGGTTTTATGCAGTCTTTCTGCACACACACACACACACACACACACAGAGAGAGAGAGAGAGAGAGAACGAGAACGCCTTAGGACATATACTAATTGTCTAGTAGAGATAGAAACACTGAAAAATTGTTCTTTTTGCTTTGAAAAGTTGGGTGTTAGGAGCAGGAAATAAACATCACTAATATTCTTAACTCACTTTGTTAGTTGTTTTAATAAAACTAATTCTGATAATATTCACTTAATAAAGCTTTATTGGTTGCTTGCATCTCACAGTCAAGAAAACAAAAATCTTCATCACAGAACCAATAGGGAACCTCATGATAGATGGAGAAAAGATGGAGACTGTCAATGACTTTGTCGTTCCACAAGTAATACACTTGGTATCAGCAGTCAGGAAATCAAGAGACTGGACAAGTCTATAGTCAGGGACCTCTCCAAATATTTGAGGAGCAGTGATGTCAGTTTGAGGACTAAGGTGCGTCTGATTCAGGCAATGGTCTTTTCAGTCACTTGCTGTGCTTCAGAGAGCTAGACAATGAATAATGTTGGCAGGAGATGGATTAATGCCTTTGCACTATGGTGTTGGAGAAGAGTGCTGAGCATCCTAAGAAGAGGTATGTCTTGGAGAAGATGCAGCCAGAGTGATTTTGGGAGGCAAATATGGCAAAGCTTCATCTCACATTCTTTGGGCATGTTGTTAGGAGAGGTTACTCCTTGGAGAGGGACATAATGCTTGGAAGGGTGGTGAAGGAGAGGAAAACCCTCAACCAGGTCGACTGACACAGTGTCTGCAGCAATGAGCTCAAGTGTGAGAGATTCTGAGGACAACACAGGGTAGGACAAAATTCGGATCTGTTGTTCATAGGATCGCTAGGAGTTGTATTCAACTCGAAGGCATTAACAACAACACGCTGCTTTCATACACTCATCATTGATACATGTTTTAGGAATGGAAGAAGTATTTGTTATTGGTTGACAAATCTGTTTTGTGTAACTTTATTTACTTTCAGATTAAAATATTGTTATGTGCTGTCAAGTACAGGCTTCAGTATCTCTGAAGCCTGCCCTACTCTGACCAGTCTCACACACCCCACACACCCCACTCCTATTGCCCCAGTTACTGTGTCAATCCAGGGTCTACCTACCCTCTGCTGTCCTTCCATGAGGGATGTTTATTTCCTATTCCTAAACCTATACTTCTCAAAGCAAAAGAAGCAATTTTTGTAGTGTACCTATATCTACTGGACAACCTGTGTTCTATGGTGGCTTATGTGTGTGTGGATGTGAGAAGAAAACTTTTTGGGCCATGTTTTTGATAAGTACTCATGGTCATCTTGCCACTCATGGCTATTATGTGAATATCATCATAATCTACACACATATTTCTGAGTTTTATCTTTAAATTCAATGTCTAGGTTTAAATTAACTTGTTTAACATTTTACTGTCTCTGTGTAAAAAGTTCACTTAGAAAAAGTAAGGTAATTGGTCATTTCAGCTGAACTGGCTGTCAGAAGGCACTGACTCACTTAATGCTCACTTTTCCCAACCACAGGAAGGACAGCCAGCGCCTTAGGCTGCCAGTTACAGACCAGATTGTTCCTGACAATACAGAAGCAAAGGAATTTGGGTAAGATATCTTGCCAAAGTAATGAATATGAGCTTCAGTACAGTGACTCTTGGGGTATCTTTTACAAGTTAGAGTTTCGTGAAAGAGCCCTGGTAGTGCAACGATTAAGCACTTGGCTGCTAATCAAAAGGTCACCAGTGGCTCCACAGAAGAAAAGGCCTGGAGATTGGCTCCCATAAAGCTTACAGTCAAAGGAGCCCTATCGGGCAGCTCTATTCTGCCTTTTATAGTCCCCCGAAGTCAGAATAATTAGACCCACAGCCCTTGTTCTGAGCTAAGGTCCATGTGCGTATGGTTGTTGACATTTCTGTGACTTTATCATTATTGCAGGGATGAAAGTGAGCTTCAAGATCAAACCTTCATCACCCAGCAAGTCCCAATCTCAGGCTCTGCTGGTAAACAGGCACCACTCAGCATTCAGCAAGGATCACAGAGCCCTGGCATGGTAAGGACTGTCACAAACAGATACATTTAACGTCTCTTACCAACTCATCTACTCTTCTCTTGCAAACTCCTATCGTCCTTTTCTCTAATGGGCAGGAGCTTTCGGGGCTTGATGAAATGAACAACTGTAATGCTATTATGAGTCAATAGAAATTTTTGTATCAGTATCTACCATAATGATGAAAGAAGAAGTTCAGGCTGCTTTGAAGGAAATGGCAAAAAATAAGGCTCCAGGAATAGATGGTAAACCAGTTGACATATTTCAGCTAACAGATGCTGCCCTGGACGTGCTCACCAAGTTGTGCCAAGAAATCTGGAGAACAACCACTTGGCCAACTGACTGGAAGAGATCTATATTTGTTTCCATTCCGTCAGAGTGTGGAAACTATAGAACAATCTCACTGATTTCACATGCAAGCAAGATTCTACTGAAGATTATGCAAAAATGACTGGAACAGCACATCAGCAGAGAACTACCAGAAGTCCAGGCTGGGTTTAGAAGGGGTCATGGTACTAGGGATATTTTAGCTGATGTTAGATGGATCTTAGCTGAAAGCAGAGAATACCAGAGGAATGTCTATCTGTGTTTCATTGACTATGCAAAGGCATTTGACTGTGTGGATCATAACAAACTGTGGCTGACTCTGAGAAGAATGGGAATCCCAGAACACTTGATCGTGCTAATGTGAAACCTATACTTGGACCAGGAGGCAGTCGTCAGAACAGAGCAAGGGAACACTGCATGGTTCAAAATTAGGAAGGGCGTATGCCAGGGATGCATCCTATCTCCATACCTTTTCAACCTGTATGCAGAACAGATTATCCGGGAGGCTGGGCTCTATGAGGAGAAATGTGTGGTAAAGATTGGTGGACGATTTATCAACAATCTGCGTTATACAGATGACACAACCCTGCTTGCTGAAACTGAAGAGGACCTGAAGCACCTGCTGCAGAGTGTCAAGGACTGCAGCCTACAATATGGATTGAGGCTCAATGTCAAGAAGACAAAGATTCTCACCACTGGACCAATTGGCAGCATCAGGATGGATGGTGAAGAGATTGAGATTGTTCACAGCTTTAGTTTGCTTGGCTCCACAGTCAACACTCTTGGCACCAGTAGCCAGGAAATTAAAAGGCACATTGCCATGGGAAAGTCTGCTGTTAGGGACCTCTCCAAAGTACTGAAGAGCAATGGTGTCTCTCTGGAGACCAAGGTGCGTTTGATACAGGCCATGGTCTTTGCAGTCGCTTGTTATGCATCAGAGAGTTGGACAATGACCAAGGAGGATAGAAGGAAAATTGATGCCTTTGAGCTGTGGTGCTGGAGAAGAGTATTGAGAATACCATGGACTGCTAGGAAAACAAACAGATTTGTCCTGGAAAGGGTTAAACCAGGTGGCTCTTTGGAGGCAAGGATTCTGAGGCTCTGTCTAACATACTTTGGACATGTTGTGAGGAGAGACCGGTCCTTGGAGAGGGACATCATGCTTGGGAGGGTGGAGGGACAGTGCAGGAGGGGAAGGCCCTCTATGAGGTGGATTGATTCAGCGACTGGGATAATCGGGACGGGAGTGTCAGAGACACTGTGATTGGCACAGGACAGAGCAGAGTTTAGGGCTGTTGTACATAGGGTTGCTATGAGTCGCAAGCGACTCAATGGCACATAATAACAACAACAACATCTACAATAAAGGAAGACCTATTACTGGGTATGATTAATGCAAGTACTACTTAGCACCTATTTGTGTGGAAAAGCTATATACTGTAGCCCAAATACATAATAAATTATGTAAGAATAAACTTTTCTTTCAGTTATATTCACATTTCCATATTCTTAATGATCTTGTAATTCTTGGCTTTGGAGAGAAGGGGGATGTTTGAGTCAGTAGGGGATTAGGCATGATAAAGAACTAAGTTGTTTTTCTTAGGTACCATCGAGTTGAGTATGACCCATAGTGACCCTATGAACAAAAGTTCTGAAGCCTGTAATATCCTGCCCCATTCTCATACTTCCTGACACACAAGAGCCCCCTGCAGCAGTCACCGTGTTAATCCACCTAGTTGAGGGTCTTCTTCTCCTTCGCCAACCTCCACACTTCCCAGCATCATGTCCCTCTTCAAGGAACAGCCCATCCTAGCAATATGCCTAAAATACATGAGGTGAAGCCCTATCAACTAAATGTGGACACAATGGAACAAACAATATCACTAATATCGCATGCAAGCAAAATACTGCTGAAGATCATTCAAAAGAACTATTGTGTAATTAAAAGATAAACAAGATTTTTTCCATTTCTTTTTTTTATTGTTTTCTTTTCCCTCCATCTGTTTGTCCTCTTAAAAGTAAACAAGATTTTGAAAGGTTTTTATTTGTAATTTTTTATTCATAATTGGCACAGTGTAGAATCTGAGAAATGAGGTTACATCAGAGCAAAAAGAAAAAGATGTTATTTATTAGCTGTTATTAGCAATGGCCAAAATGTACAGGTTTTCTCTCCCCTCCCCCGCCACCTAAGAAACAGAAATCTGAGCAGTCAGTGGCTGACCAGTTGAGAAATAAACAGACTCACTTAGAGCAGCATGATCCTCATTAGTCAATTTTTGAAAAGTAATTTCCCTCAAATATAAGAGGAACTTAGCAACTTCTGTGATTCTATTTAATTCCATTCGGAATTTAGACAATATGACCTTTTATATAATCCAGTCTATAGCTGCTGGACTGGAGTAAATACCACTTCCTGGTGCCAGTTGCAGTAGAGAGAATACAAAACCCAAGCCTGGCATCATCACGCTGACTCTAACTCATTGGGTGCCTGTTCAGGACAGAATGCAACTTCTTCCTAGATTTCCATGGTTATAAATCAGGAGCAGAGTGTAACTGCTGACCTTCTGGTTAACAGCCGAGCATTTCAACTGCTCTCAAAATATAAATTCCTGTTGCCTCACCTAAAGGAATAATAAAAGCAATAAAGACCCAAAGAGGGTCTTAAGTGAATTTTATAACAATTTTGTCACCTTTCATGATTGAAAATTCTGATATTCTACCCAACAAGTAGCAGTAATAAGCCTAAAGTTCACAGAGCACACAAATATTTTGAGAGCTTTTCACTGTCAGTGATTCACTGAAGAACCCTCATGGAGGAGGCTAGCACTATCCAAGTGACCAATGCCTGGCCACTAGGTAGTGCTCTGCCGGAGCCAGAAGCCTTCTCAGTTCACTGGGTGTAAACTGTATCAGAAAATCAGAATTCAGCAGGGACAGTGGAGTAAAAAGACAGAATCCATCTATCCAGCACAGCACGTCTATTCCTAAATGCATAAAGACACCTGAACTAACGGTAGCAGAAAAATCTGTAAAGTTATTATAAAATAATCCAATAAAACTATTACTACTTTGTGTCATAAAAAGCTTTGAAATTTTTTTAGGCTCCACTTTCTAAATTCAGTGTTCTTTCATTTAAAAAAGTTTCACTAACGAGAAATGCAGGCAAGAGGAAAGAAGAACATAGATAGTCTATCTAGTAAGGCAAGTACCATTAGGTTAGTCTTGCTTAAGGCAAGAGTCTTGTCTGCTTTCATGATTCAAACATTCCCTTGATAACTGTTGAAATAAGTTTTCTTAAAAAAATTTCTTTCTGAATCTTTAAGGTCTTAATGGTTGAAGCATTAATTAATGATTGCTGAAGCAAACCCTGAACTTTAACACTTGGCACATACAACAAAAATGCTGATTTATCCAATGCATACTGAGGTATCCTTGAAAAGTGATTTTAAGTAATAATTCTGACAGATGTAGAATTAAACAGTGGTTCTGAATCACTTGGCAAACAAAGTGGCATTCAGCTGAAAAGAAAGTCGTCAACACCTTTGGGCTAAGTAGAAATGGATTCTATAAATTAAAAAGCTTGGAAAACTGTCAGAGGCGGTCTTCCCTACCAGCATTTACATTAAAGGCTGTGTTTGAGAACCAGGTAAAAGGTGAACTATGAAATGTCCTGTTTCCCCACCCAAGAGTTTCCCTTCCAATAACTGGAAGATCTTCCCACACTACCTTCCCCTCTTTCAAGTCTTCACAAAAAGGGAAGAACTTTAAGAAAACAGATCTTACACTCTCATTCCAAATAAACATTTCACAGCTTATAAGTGCTTAAAAAACGGAAGTAGAAAAAGCAAATGAAAATCTGGTTTCCAAGTTAAACTGTCTCCCTATAACAACTTTGCAGGAACCAATGGTCCTGAGAAAGATTTTAGTTACAAGGTACTCCAATCCCAGGGAATTGTTAATTATCTGAGCAAAGTTGGCAAGTAAAGTTGATTAAGAACAAAGGGAGAGAAATCAGGATGGACTGAGTCTGGAACAAGTGTGTTTCTAACGGCCCATGGTTGGCATGCCCACCGTGGGTGAGGATTTCTAACGGCCCATGGTTGGCATGACCACTGCAGGTGAGGAAAGAGTGGCATCTTCTTCTTTCCATTGAGAAGTGATGGTCTTTAGCTGAGTGTAGAACTGGATGCCCTGAAAAGGACAAAGTGAAGGTGGGGAGGCAGAGAGAAGCAGTGAACAATGGGCTTGAGGGACTCCTGTTTTCATGACCTTTTGTCAAATGTCTACTCTCTTTTCTGACTTAAAGAACAGACACAACCAGAATTTAAAATATTGTTCATAAGATACTCCATGTAAAATTTTCAGCATAATATCTGGCACACAGTAAGCAATTAAACCTTAACTATCCTTGTTACATTGAAATGGGAACTTCTAAGCTCAGCACATCTAAAAGGAAAACACAGATACATACACCATGTACATGTAAATACTTATTTAAAATTACTAACAAATTAGTAGCAAGCTAGAATAATGTTTTAGGGAGGAAAATATCCCAGCTTATTTAAAGTGTACTTCAGAATTCGTTGACAAAATCTGAGCTATTGTTATGTGTGCATTTATAGATTTATTTTTAAATTTGAACATATTAAACATGACTTTAGAGACTTAGATACTTTTGACATAAAAGTATCTCTTCTCTTATGTAAGAATCATTCCTTCTTGTATTATTTCTAGCACACAAAGAACAATTTAATTGCCTAAGGATTAAGCCTTAAAATGTGTGAAGTCTTACTTAACAGAGTGACTTACAGTAATAAAACCAAGAGAAGGGGGGGAAGTAAGAAGAACTACTTTAAGCAGTAGTTATGCTCTTCTTCCTCTAAAGAAATACTTTTTACTCATAGTAAACAAGTCAATTTGGCAAAAACTGTGACTAATGACAACTTTGCAGTAACTAATGGTCCTGAGAAAGATTTTAGTTACAAGGTACTCCAATCCCAGGGAATTGTTAATTATCTGAGCAAAGTTGGCAAGTAAATTTGATCAAGAACAAAGGGAGAGAAATCAGGATGGACTGAGTCTGGAACAGGATCGGCAGCCCCTCCAGGGCCAGAGTGCTGACAAAGTGGCAGTTTAATCCTCACAGAATTAGGAGATACAGGAACTATTGCTATTCTTGTTTTGTACATAAGTCAAATAAACATAACTTCCCCAACATGAGAAAGCAACTAATGAGCCCAGTGGGGATGTGAACCCGGGCAGTTTGGCTTCAGATCTGCCTGTTAGCGCTGAGCCATATAGTGCTTATTTGGTATAAAAAAAAAGCACTTAAAAAAAAGTATTAATTTTTGTAAATTAAGAACTGTTACAGAAAACATAGGGGGGAATTCACTGAGAAAGAGGGCATAGTCAGGGATGATTATTTGGAGGAGTCCATTCTTTAAAGTGAGGCATATTAGTTAGGTGAATGAGGGGGAAGCAGGGAAAGGATTACAGGAAGAGAAAATTGCATATACAAAAGCCTGGACTTCTCCCAAAGCTTTATTACCTTGAATTATTCTGGAAAAAACTACTTTGGTAAAATCTTGTTAACTTTTAATTTTTTCTAGGGAACATACTGACTCCATTGCTGACTTCCCAGAAGCTGCTGACAGGCCTTCCTTTACAGAATCCTTACTCCTGATTATGTCCAAGAAAAAATGTTAAGAAAAAATTTTTAACTTCAAGTTACCTGTTTGCCATAGAAATTAGTATCTCCTCTGAAGGAAGATCGAGAGCCGGTGAATGAGAACATTGGCAGAGGCACTGGGATGGGGACGTTCACACCCACCTACAGGAGAACAAATCCACATTATATACTGAGAACTCAAACAAAGGAACACTAGATTTAAATGCCCACCGTCTACCCATGCTCCACCCTGGGATCTTTCATCCTTCATGAAGAAAAAGAGCAACATGGGAGATTAGGGGGCAGTCTTGGAACATGCTGCACCATATGACCAATCACCGTTTATTGTCTCCCTCAGACAGAAGGTAGGGAATGGCTACAGGAATCTCTCCGACCTGTCCAACATCCACCAGGTGGGAGTATTTCCGAGCAGTGGCGCCATTGGTGGTGAAGATGGCAGTTCCATTCCCATATGGGTTGTCATTGACAATCTTGATGGCTTCATCCAGTGTGTCTGTCTCCAGCACCACAAGAACTGGACCAAAAATCTCCTCTTTGTAACAGGTCATATTTGGCTGTCAAGAATGATTCATCCAGAAAAAGAAAAAAAGTCGGTTTTTAGATTCCGAGTATACTACACTCATCTGTTACTTTCCTTTATTATTCATCATTTATGAGGACAGCATTCATGTTAGCAATCTATTTTAATCTTAAACCACCTATTAAATCCTGCCTAAAAAAAAAAAATTAAAAATCCTGCCTCTCTCCATGTGTCCTGCATTCTGGGCTCTCAATTATAATACCAACTTGAAATTCTCATTCGCTCTAACCATAACCCTTTCCTTTCAAGCACCTGTAGGTCTCATGACCCATCATTTGCTCTAACAGCTGCACAATTTGTTTCACAAACATTATTACTTAGAATTTACATGGAAATTCACTTTTGTAAATCAAATATATGTTAAATACAGCAAAAGAAAATTTCTATTTAAAGAAACTATGTGCTAAGTTTTCTGTACAATAAACAATCCATTCTCATTCACTACTTTGTCTCCCAAATGAGTTTGTACATTCATATTTTGATATGGGATCACAAACATTCAAAGTCTCCTGTATTGGCGAGCTCTGGTGGCCTAGTGGCAAGAAGCTGCACTGTAATCACAGAGGTGCGCGGTTCAAGTCCACCAGATGCTCTGTTGAAGAAGGAGGGACAATCTCCTTGTGTACCAGTCAGATCTGATTTGACGGTACACACATAAAAAATAATCAAAATTTAAAAAAAGAAAAAAAATACAAAGTCTCCTGTATCACTCGCTAGTCAGTTATGACTGGTACTGAGAAGCAGATTTTTCTTCTGTGGAAGAGATATATTTTATATTAACATTCAACTCTCTTCTATTTAGAATTAGGGATTAGTTTTAGTTAGGGGTACATGAATTTATAAAAAGCCTCCTAACATCAATTTAGTCATTAATTTTAACTCCTTAGGACTTTTAGAGTTTTGATAAAACCTACTAGACCAAGTATTTTTGTTTTGTAATTTTCTAGTGAAGATGCAACAAATTTCTGGGCAAAGAGTAGGGACTCAAATAGGGTTCTGAATACTGAAATAGTTAGCTATAAGCTGTGGAGTAAGAGAGACAGAAAAAAGAATCTACATTAAGCAAAGCAAATAACTGACAGAGTAAAGGGTTGGAGTTGGCAAACTGTAATTTGTAAACCAAATATGGCTTGCTACTATTTTTGTACAGCTGACAGAGAATTGATTTTACATTGTTAAGTAGATGGAAAGAAAAAGTTATTTCAGGACCATTAAAATGAATATAACATTGAAATTTTAGTGTCCCTAAGCAGTGGTTTATTAGGACATGACCACACTTCTTTTTCTTTTTCCCTGCCACACTAATTTTTATAGATGCTTTCCTATTACAATGTCAGATTTGAGTGGTAGTGATGGAATTGTGATAAGTTGTGCATGTCTTGGCAAGGTTGAAAATAGGGCAAGAAATTTGCCAACTGCTGTTAATCTAGGGCTCTCTGGTCAGGAATTGGGAGGGAAGACTCATTCAGATTTCAGACAATCTTGGCAAAAAATGAAATCTCTAGACCTGAAGCACCTGCTGCAGAGTGTCAAGGACTGCAGCCTACAATATGGATTGAGGCTCAATGTCAAGAAGACAAAGATTCTCACCACTGGACCAATTGGCAGCATCAGGATGGATGGTGAAGAGATTGTACACAGCTTTAGTTTGCTTGGCTCTGTAGTCAACAGTCTTGGCACCAGCAGCCAGGAAATTAAAAGGCGCATTGCCATGGGAAAGTCTGCTGTTAGGGACCTCTCCAAAGTACTGAAGAGCAATGGTGTCTCTGGAGACTAAGGTGCATCCGATACAGGCTATGGTCTTCGCAATCACTTGTTATGCATCAGAGAGTTGGACAATGACCAAGGAGGATAGAAGGAGAATTGACGCCTTTGAGCTGTGGTGCTGGAGAAGAGTATAGGAAAACAAACAGATTTGTCCTGGAAAGGGTTAAACCAGGTGGCTCCTTGGAGGCAAGGATTCTGAGGCTCCGTCTAACATACTTTGGACATGTTGTGAGGAGAGACCGGTCCTTGGAGAGGGACATCATGCTTGGGAGGGTGGAGGGACAGCGCAGGAGAGGAAGGCCCTCTATGAGGTGGATTGATTCGGTGACTGGGATAATTGGAATGGAAGTGTCAGAGACAGTGCGATTGGCACAGGACAGAGCGGAGTTTAGGGCTGTTGTACATAGGGTCGCTATGAGTCGCAAGCGACTTGACGGCACATAACAACAACAACAACAGTCCTTAATGTCTTTATCTACAAATTGGGGAGAATGACATTGACTCCTCTAAGGAGTCTTTAGCTCTCATATTTAAAATATATTTCATAAGAGTTGATTCTGAGATGATATTGTTTGCTTACCTTAACATTTGAGATGATTGTTGGCCCAACAAAGTTGCCATTTTCATAGCCTTTGACTTTAATGTTTCGTCCATCAAGAAGGATCGAAGCTCCCTCCTTGGTTCCACTGTCAATCAGATTACAGACTCGCTCTTTGGCTTGGGGAGTAATCAGAGGGCCAAGATCAGCTCCAGGCTGGTCTCCTACAAAACAACAGCACGCCACAGTCTTTGTTAACATAAATGATAGCTGTTAACAAAAAAGATGACAAGAACAGTAGAAAAAGAAGCATATGAAGAATAGCTAGGATAGTTCCCACTAGCTAAGGCCAACATTAAAAGCCAGGGTTTCGTTGCTACAGCTGCAAAATCTAAAGGATCTAGTTGGGTGATTGCTTACCTGCATTGACCCTCAGGTTTTTGGCTCGCTCCACGAGTTCTGGCAGCCACTTCTTGGCTTCTCCGACAAGGATTGCTGTAGAAAGAGCCATGCAGCGCTGACCAGCAGCTCCAAATGCAGCCCCGACCAGCTGGTTCAGGGTATTTTCTTTGTTGGCATCTGGCATGACAACTCCATGGTTCTTGGCTCCCTAAGGAAACACAGAAAGTATATGAATATTCCTTCGCCATATACAATGAAGCTAACAAACTAAGCAAAGAACTGGGAAACTTCAAATGAGAATTTAAAGGAGCCACAATGAAAAACCAACCTTGCTGTCATCAAATCCATCTGACTCACAAAAATCCTTTTGCAGAGGTGAACTGCCCAGTAGGGTTGCCAGTACTGTAATCTTTATGGGACGCAATGGCCATATCTTTCTCCCAGGGAGGGCTGGTGGGTTTGAAGCTCTGAACTTTTGGTTCTAATTGAATTCTTAGTTGCTACAACACCTGGGCTACTCAAAGGAAAAGTCTACAGAATTAATCCTATTGCTTGGAGAATAGATTTATGATTTTTTTTTTTTTTTACTGCAGAAGTTTTGGCAACATTGAGCAAGTTTCCAAGCTGCTTTTTCTTCATGATGTCAGCTAATAAGTATTTATTTGGATCAAAATGTTCTTCTCTCCTCCTCCTCAAAAAAAAAAATCCCAGTCACATTGAGGGTAATCAACAGGCTAGCCATTCTAACCCAGAGTCAAGAAGAATACCATCTCTCTCCTGAATTAGTAAAGAAAGCATTGTGTGCTGGAGTTTCAAAATCAGATGACAAGCTGTCTAAACTAATACCCTCAAATTAAGACTGCTTCTAGATAAAGTCTCAGAAACTTCTGTATAGTAAGGGATATGATCCTTTCCACACAGCTCTATAGGTAAGTGTGTGGATAGATATCAGGTCTTCTACTTAACTGTATCCTCTTATATATAATATTTGCAGCTCTGGTGGTCAATGGGTAAGGAGTTAGCTGGCAACCCAAAACACAGGTAATTCTGGTTAACCAAAGACTGGCAGTGCAAACGCACAGCTTCTCTGCAGGAGAAAGATGGGCAGTTTCCTCCTGTGCGATTTACAGCCTCAGAAAACCTGCTGGGGGATCAACTATGATTTGGTTCTGACTCTTAATGGCACTTAACAACAATGACAAGGTTAAGCTTGAAATACACACAAAAAATATGTAGTAAATGGAGAAGGGCCCAAGTCAAATTGACCAAAACATATTGAGCCATGAAAACATGAAGGTCCCAAGTCTGCGCACAGCTGGTGTCTTTTCTGCTGACAGGTGAGAAAACTGTAACTCAAGTTTGCAGTCAGTTCGGTACCATCAAGCCAACTACAACTCAGTGACTCTTTGAACAGATCGAAACCATGCCATCTGCGTGATCACTACCAGCCAAAGCCATGTGCTGCAATCCCTGTCTGCCCATCTCATTGGAGGCCTTCCTCTCTTTTCCTGACTCTCTACTTTTACAGCATGATGTCTAAGGAGTGGCCCCTCCAGACCATAAGCTTCATGTCCCTATGGCAATGAGTGAGTGATAAGAGAAATGAAGTAGTTTTATGAGTCCTTGAGCACTACAAATTCTCCTCAAATATGCTTTTTTGTTGCTTATGGTATTTTCAAAGACTCTCTAGACAAGGAAGATATTGGTGTGCTATGGCAAAAGGAACAAGGCACTCGGTGTGACATATCAAAGATTTGTGGTCAAAAGAATTTTAGTCTTGGTGAAGCCTCTAGTTGTGTAACTTCAAATAAGTCACTAAGCTATTCTCAATTTTCTCAACTGAGACCCAAGCATGCTTTCCCCACTGAAATGAAGGCCAGCTAATATATGTCATTGGTTTTCATTAGGGTCACCTAGAACCCCTAAGGGAGCATTTCCAGTTCTCACCAAGACAGATAGGCTAATACAGATTATTTCAACCAAAATGAAAAAAAAAAGAAAATAAAAATATTTACCATTTAACATATTGTTGAAGGTCATCCAAAACCAGAACAGTGCATTGACAGAGAACTGCCAGAAGTTCAAGAAGGGTTTAGAAGAGGCTGTGGCACCAGAAGAATGTCTACTTGTGCTTTACTGACTGTGCAAAGATATTTGTGTGGATGATGACAAACTAAGATTAGTCTTGAGAAGAATGGGAATTCCAGAACACTTAACTTTGCTCATGTGAAACCTATACATAGACCAAGGAGCTGTTATCTGAACAGACAAGGGAACACTGCATGGTTTAAAATTGAGAAAAGTGTGTGTCAGAGATGTGTACAATCTCTATACCTATTCAACCTGTATGCTGAGACAAATCATTCGAGAAGCTGGATTTATGAAGATTGTGGCATCAGGATTGGTGGAAAGCTGATAAAAAACCTGCATTATGCAGATGACACAACCTTGCTTCCCAAAATGAGTAGGACTTGTTGCAGAGGATCATATCTCAATGTTAAGAAAATAAAAATTCTCACCACTGGACTAATAGGCAACATGAAAGATGGAGAAATGATTGTAATTGTCAGTAATTTCTTTCATCTTGCTTGGGTTCATAGTCAACACCCTTGGTACCCACAGTCAGAAAACTAGGAGATGTATGCCACTGACAAAGTGTGCTGTTAGTGATCTCTCCATGGTCCTGAAAATCAATGATGTCAGGTTAGACTAAGCTATGCCTGATTCAAGCCACAGTCTTCCTAATCACTTGCTAAACATCTGAGGACTGGACAGCGAATAAGGATTACAGAAGAAGAATGAATGTATTTGAGTTATAGTGTTGGATAAGAGTGCTGACTATACCACAGACTGCCAAAAAAACCCCCACATAGATATGTGGTAGAGAATATGCAACCAAAATATTCCTTGGAGGCAAAGTTGGTGAAGCTCCATCTCACATATTGGGAATGTTGTTAGAAGAGGATACTCCTTTGGAAAGGATATCTTGCTTGGAAAGGTGGAGGGACGGTAAAGGAGAGGAAGACACTCAGTGAGATGGATTGGTAGTGTCTGTGGCAATGGACTTAAATGTGCTGAGGATGCCAAAGGATGGTGTAAAGATAGGACAGAGTTCAGATGACTGTTCATAGGGTTGCTATGAGACATACTCAACAGAACTTAAAAACAACTATTCAACTATTCAACAAGGTAAAAAAAAATTCTACACAGTAACAGCAAACTCTAATTTTGGCAAGAGACTAAAAAGGACATCAGAACTATGCAACCAAGTAAAGAACACTCAGCTACTTAGGGAAGTTAGGTGACTCTCATAGTGCTTTAAGGGAGTGTCATAGCTTAGTGGTAGGAATAGTAAGAAATGCCGTAAAAGAAGAGAAAATACAGGCAGGGAAGTAAGGTATGAGAGAACAGGATAAGCAGGAAGAAAAAGGTACAGAAACACAATTGAGCTGTGACCACTGAACCTCTGGTGGCTGAGTGGCTAAACGGTTGTGGTGCTAACCCAAAGGTTAAGCTAATCCACTAGCTGCTCCATGGGAGAAAGATGGACAGTCTCCTTCTGTGTAATTTATAGCCTCTGAAAACCCAGCTATGAATCAGTTCTGACACAATGGCACATAAAAAAACAAATGAACCAAAGAACCTGAAAAAAAAAATTCCTCAGGAAAAATATGTCATGTTATATATATGTAGAAAAATAAGGTGAGAGGATGTGTGGCCCTTCTGCTAAAGGATTATTTCTAGGTAATTAAGCAAACAGGAAAAGAGAATGAATTTTAAAAAAAATCACCCACACTAAGTGAATAAAAAGATCAGGAATAAAGAAATAAGAAATCACCATATTGGCTTGAACTCTCTTGCCATGTCTTGAGCCTCTCTCGAAGATGTACTCTCCTGCCTGGTTGGATCCCACAAAGCTGATTGCTTTGATGTCCGGGTGATCACAAATGAAATTTACAGCTTAAAGAAGAAAAGAAATTATTATCACAGAGGAGTGAACCACCACAGATTTCTCCTCAAGGCAGACTTGCTCTCACCACTGTAAGGGATCACAAAGGGTCCCGCTTTTGTTTTTCTACCTTGTGTTCTCATTTGCAGTTCTCACCTTTTGTGTTGCTCTTAAATTCATTAAATTACAATTTCTAATTTTTCTCATTTGCTACTTCAGAATTTCTGTTTCTGTGTAAACAGGAACTCTTATTTTCTTCCAAGATAACATCCTTTCAGTAATTGAGTCCTCCTTTTTTTCCTTTTAAGAATTCATATTTCTTCAACTGTACTTCAAATCTAGAAGCATACAGGGGTTTTCTGATACTGCTATGCCATCAGTGGAACAGGTGTTTAAAAGCAAAAACCCAGTCAGTCTAACTGGGTACATGCAGCCTGGCTCTGACAATTCCTTGATGTGTGACTTGGACCAAATGACTTCCTTTTACGATGCCTCTATTTTCTCATTTGTAAAAGGGAAAAATAGTAGTAGCTACGGCACAGCATTATTTAAAGATTGAATGAGGTGATTCAGGGAAAACACTAGAAAAGAGTGCCTGAAACACAGAAGTGACTTTTAAACACAAACACACTAGCTAGGAGAACACAGAAGGCTGTCAGTCTCTCTAAGGTCTATAAATTTTCAGAATTAAATAACCTAATGAATTCTCAGTTGCCCTTTCTGTTATCTACATGTGTGCGATTGGCACAGGACAGAGCAGAGTTTAGGGCTGCTGTACATAGATAGGGTCACTATGAGTCGCAAGCAACTCGATGGCACATAACAACAACAACAACAACAATGAATTCTCTGAATATTAAAATGAAATATTTGTTAATTTTATCTGTTAAAAAAATTCTTGGCGTTTAGGTCTAACCTATATTTCTGACCTCTTAATGTATACTATTGGGCAAGAATCCCCATTGCCCCCCAGTTACCTTAGCAAACAGAGAGGACAAACAATCAACCATACCTTTGAACATGGAAGTTAGTTATTAGTCACCCTCTTCCTCCCTGGGTTCCTCATTCTAAAATGTCTCATCACCTGGACCTTTTGGTAGTCAGCTTAATAGCCACATGCAGGGAGGTACTTACTTACCTTCATGTTGTCCATGGATGATATTCAGTGTTCCGTCAGGGGCACCAGAATCCTGGAGCAATTTAGCAAGAAGCATAGTTGCTCCAGGCACCCGCTCTGATGGCTTCATTAGGAAAGTATTCCCACACACCATGGCCATTGGAAACATCCACAGGGGAATCATGGCTGGAAAATTGAACGGAGCGATGCCCGCACACACACCCAGAGGCAGACGGTAGGAATAAAGGTCCATGTCTTTGGTGATGGATGGCATGGTCTCTCCCAGCAGAAGGGACGTCACACTGCAGGCATGCTCAACAACCTCTGGAAAAGAGGAGGAGGAGGCAGGTTGCTAGCTCACCACACGACTTGGCTTTTTCAGACTCTATCTAGCTCTTCTGACAAGAAGTGGCTCAAGCCACTTGCAGAGGGACGAAATACTGACTTGCCCTTCTGTATAAGAGGGCTGCTATCTCTCTATCTCATTGCCATCAAGTCAAAACTGACTCATAGCTGACCCTCCAGTGAGTTTTTTGAGGTTGTACATTGGGAAGAGATTGTCTATCTTTCCCCCAACGAGCAGCTGGTAGATTTGAACTGCCTTCCATTAGGGTGGTAACACCAACTTCCTACCCATTAGGCCACCACCAGAGCTCCCTAAAAGGGCTGTACATAATTACTTTTTCTACGTGGGAAAAAGAGTATAAAAGTGCAGATACCTACTAGGAGATCATTTAAGTAAAATAAATAATGCTGCATGAGTCCATTCTACAGACACCTCAGAAGTATTGTGATTTTTCATAAGTAATAGCAATATCTACATAAAGAAAGAGGCAGCCTGTCATTTTGAGATCTTTGCTTCCCATATTCCTTTGCCCACCCCCAAGGGTCTCTGAACACCCCCTTTTAGCGACTCCCAGCTTACGAAGGCCTCGGAATACATCTCCTTCAGCATCAGCGAGGGTCTTCCCTTGCTCCATTGTGATTAATCTGGCAATTTCTTTCTGAAGAGAAAACACACAAATAGATATTAATGCAAAGATACACCACCTTCTAGTTATCACATAGCCAAAGTAAAAAGAAACCTGGGAAGAAGCAGAGTTCGGGAAGACAGCCGCAGTGTCTCTCTGAAGTGTAGAATTCTTGACTCTGTGCGATGGAGTTAGCGGAAAGGAACTAAAAGGGCTTTGTGGTAGAACAAGTATAGCTCAGGAATCTATTTGGAAAGTTACATCATTTCTTACCAAGTTTTCTTTAATAAGTTGTTGATAGCGCAGTAAGACCTGCTGACGGCTTAACACGGATGTGTCTGCCCACGAGGGGAAAGCGCGTTTGCAAGAAGCGATGGCTGCATCCATCTCGGCCTTGGTGGCCTGAGGGACCCGACCAATCACCTCATTGGTGGCCTGACAAGAGACAGAAGCACGTCATCCTTTGCTCCCCCACTTTCTCCATTTTCCATCAAATAACAGGCAGCAAGGGATATGTCAGGACAGGCACTCAGGGTACTATTTTCCCCACCATGATCCCCAAATTCTGGGCTACTCAGTGTAAGTCCCAAAGACTTTGCTTACTGGGTTGTGGATGTCAATCCATTTGTCACTTTTGGATTCAACAAATTTCCCATCAATGAAAAGCTTCACAGTTGGCTGAAAACAAACAAACAAACAAACAGAAAAACAAAAGCAAGACAGAAAACATATTATTTTTTTATTTCTTCATAAAAAAGAAAGAACTAGGATTCTCGAATCTTCTGTTCTATAGAAATTCACCACTAGGAAAGAGCTACACAATGTACCTGTCTGTAGTCAATATTAAGATGTGGCAGAGCCTCTCAGTAGCAAGATCTTTCCACGTATGGGACATGCTCTGCTAATCACACGGTGGAATGTAATGACAAGTGAATAAATAAGCAAACGTCACTGTGTAGCTTATGCTAAAAGGACAGAGAACTTTGTGTTAACAAAGTTCAGCTCTTAGGATATTTTATTCCATCTGATTTTGTGTCATCGTCACATATAGACATGTATTACTTTTATGATCAAAAGAGTTTTTAGAGTGTTTCCGTGTGTGTGTGTGTGTGTGTGTATTTAGAAGCCATTTGCTTTCAAGAAATGTTCAAATGGATCTGTGAACCAAAAAAAGGCTAAGAGCTCCTGTATTAAAGTGCATACTTCGATAGAGAACGGATGTGAGCCTCAGTCCTCAGTGAACAGATTTGGGTACTGCAAATTACTTACAAACAGTCTGAACAAAACAACCTAAAGTTTTTTAAGAAGATAACTATTTGGCAGAATAAACAAAACCTCTGGAGGCCATGGAAATGTTGGTAGCTTTTGACATAGTAATGTTATTTACAAGAGAGATGTTTCAAAAGAAAGGGGACACCATGTACTGGGTTCCTTTTCAGACAAATGTCAATCTTTAGTGTCAAATAAACTCACCACTGAAGACGAAGAAAAGGCAGATGATGGATACCATGCAGAGTTCACCTTGGAAGAAATCTATGAGGGAAAAGCATGCGTATTTTGATTAATGAGAACAGAAAATTATTAAAAGTTTAGTGAATGGCTATGAAAGTCTTAACATTTATATTAGTGCTGTGGGTTTAAGAAGTGGGACTTGGCCTTGGCTTTCAGGTACCACAATCTTAAAGAGAACAATCAACCACAGCGATTGTTGTTGGCTGCTGTTAAGTCAGCCTCTGACGCATCGTGTTACTGAGTAAAACTCCTGCATGGTATTTCTTGGAAACAGTGAAGTGCTCTACTGAGTAAGAAGCTGGCTGTTTGAACCTATCCACAGACACCTCAGAAAACAGGCCTACTGATCTGCTTCCAAAAGGTGGCAGCCTTTAAAAGCGCAAGGGACAGCTCTGCTCAGTCAGAATCAACTTAACAGCAACTGATAACAATCTTACAGAAGCAGTTCACCAGGCCTGTCCTTCACCATCCGGTGGGTTAACAGCCCATTACCAACTGTCTGTGCCACCCAGTGATAATGTCCCCAGTTTCTAGGACAGTTCTGATTTAATTTCATTTTCTTTTGTCATGAGATCATTCTTTTTCTTCCTGTTTTTGGTTTAAGAAATCTCTCTCTCATTACTATAGAGTTGGAACCAACTCATAGCTGATCCTCAGAGGTTATAAGGAACCGGCCCAACTTTCTCCCATGGAGCAGCTGGTGGATTCGGACTGCCTGCCTTGGATTCGGACTGCCTGCCTTATGCAGTCACCATAAATTTAGTAATGTGGAAACATTTACCATGATACCTAATATACTAGAAGGAGGGTTCCTGGCCTTTATATATTTGAGTGGGAGCTTATAAATCACAAGGGTTTTTTTTACTTCTATACATTGTTTTACAGCAGTGTAATCACAATTCCATTGTATCAGTCATATACATTTTAGAACATTAAGCCACTGACTAATGTAACTAACTATAATATCTAACCAACTCTAACTATATGTTTTCAGGATAAGGTAGTAAATAGCAAGTGTTGAACACGAGGTATAATGTGTCCATACGTAAACAAGAATGTTCATAACAGTTTTATTTGTAATAGTCCAAAGCTTGGAGACCACTCAAATGCCCAACAATTAATAGAGGATTGGGGCAACTCATTGCAGTGTGCTAATACAATGGAACACTCAACAATAAAAAGAAATGAACTACTGAGAACATGCGAAACCATGTATGAATCTTGGGGAAATGTCACGCAGTGAAAGAAGGCATTAACAGGAGCACACACATTTTTTTTTATTCCATTTCTAGGAAAGCTAAAAAAATGCAAATGATAGGATGCAGATCAGTGGTTACCTGCAGGTGGTAGGAAAGGTGGTGAGGGGAGCTTCTGGGGTGACAGATTTGTTCACCATGTTGACTGAAACTTTTGGGTTTCCACAAATATTAATTATAACTTATTAAATTATATCATTTAAATAGTTTCTTATCAATTATATTCCAACAAAACTGTTAAATATGTCACTTAATACCTTATAGGAAAAAACAAAAGATCTTGTAGGCGATACTTTATAAGGTATAGTAGGCAAATGTGGAGCTCTGGTAGCCTAGTGCCCAGTGAGGTGGTACAATGCCAGCCCAAAGGCAGGTAGTTTGAATCCACCAGCTGCTCTTCAGGACAAAGATGGGCAGTCCCCTCCCTTGTGGTTTACAGCCTGGGAAAAGCTTCTAGAGGCTCAGCTATGAGTCGGTTCTGACTCAACAGAGTAAGTGAATCGGTATGGAAGGTCAGCTACAGTAACGTAACTCTCAAACTATTACACTCTTTAAAAAAAAACCCAACGAATCACACTGGTTTATATGTGTATTATAGGGGAACTTATTCTAATTAAAGTGAAATACACAGGAACCAGTTGTGACAGTCGTTGTTGAGTGGATTCCTAGGTTGCTGCTGAGCTCAGGCTGATCCCATGTGCCCATGTGTCAGAGTTCAACAATGCTCCCTAGGGTTTTCCATGGCACAGTTCCTGGAAGGAACCAGGCCTCTCTCCTAAGGTACTTCAGGGTGGACTGGAACTGTCAACATTTTAGTAGTCACCAAGTGCATTAACTGTACTACCCAGGGACTCCAAAACTATTCATTCAGAGACTATGTTAACCATGGGGTTTAGTGTTGCACAAAGTGGAAGAATGTGTTTTTGCACCTCCAGTACTGTCCAGGGGAGACAGTACTGGTCCTTCGGAGCAGTAGACAAGCCTTGTAAATGCCTACTTAGTTGGCTTTCTTTCTTTCCCCACAAAAGCTACTTGAGATTTTCAACCTGCTCCTGGAACCCACTATGTCTTATTTACAGCTATGTTCCTAATACCAACACTGACTGTACTTACAGGGCATAGCAGTGTTTGACAAAAACATACTGAACAAGAGTGTCTCTTTTAGCATTCCCATAGTAACCGGTAATCACCCCCTACAAGTTTATCTGTGTTATAATTGCCAGGTTACTTTCCTGATAGCCAACAACACTATAACTTCTGAGAATAGGTCCTGTGTCTGTCGTATTCATTTACCTTACAAAGTTATTGGGATCAAGACTTTCCATGTTTGGAAAGCAGTTAAATGCAAAGCGAGTGTTCATGGCATACTATTATTAGCAGTTTAATATTATTTCAAATATTTGCTTTTTGCTGTTTCATCACTTATAAATTGAGACTTCCAACTCTGCTACTTCCCTTCACTCACAGGAGCTGACCTTATTTTTCCCTCTTCAGAGAAAACAGAAATCATCAGGTGAGAACTCTCTCAACTTCTTAGAAGCAAACTTATAACACCTACCTGTAGGACTCAGAGCAACCCTATTTATTAACAACAGATTTGAGCCTGTCCTACCCTGTGTCATCCTCACATCTCTGACACACTGAAGCGCTTTGCTGCAGACACCATACGAATCCATATCATTAGGGGTCTTCTCTTTTGCTGACCTTCCACCTTTCCAAGAAATAGCTTCTCGTAGTAGCATGCCCAAAGTATGAGAGATGAAGACTTTACCATCTTTGCCTCCAAAGAGCACTCCGGTGGTTATTTTATCCAAGATCTATCTGTTTACTCTTTTGGCCATCCATGGAATATCCAGGACTCTTCTCCAACATGACAGCTCAAAGGCATCAATTCTTCTTCTGTCATCCTTACTCATTGTCCAACTCTCTGATGCATAGCAAGTGAGTAGAAAGACTAGCCTGAATCAAGGGCATCTCAGTCTTTAGACTGACATCATTGCTCTTCAGAACTTCCCAGAGATCCCTGACGGCAGACTTGCCCAATTTTATACATCTTCTGACTGCTGGTACCAAGGGTGTTGACTGTTGATCTAAGAAAAATGAAATCATTGTCAACTTCAGCCCTTTCTCCAACTATCATTATGTTGCCTATTGGCCCAGTGGTGAGGATTTCTGTCTTCTTGAGGTGAGGGCTGTAATCCTTGATCTTCTGCAGTAAATGTTTCAAGGCCCCTCCTTTTTCTTTTCCCTCCTCATAGTATAAAGAGAGTGGCTATCAAGCTCCACGAGAGCACAGTGACTGGAACATTCACACTCTCCTCACTGGTGATCAGTTGGTCTCAATTCACTCAAGGTTTTCCCAAATGGTAAATCTTTACAGTAGACATCCACCTTCCTTCCACAGAATGAGTGGTGGATTAAAACTGCTGACTTTTTGGTTAGAGACCCAGTAGGTTACCATGCACTACTATGGTTCTTTGGCAGGAACAGAGGCACACAGAGAATATCTATAGCCTGAGTGCAGAGATGTTTGTATTAATACATGGCTAATTTCTGTACTTGCACTCTGAAGCCATTCTTTTCTGTTGTCTCAGACATTTCCATCAACTAAGCTCTTTTCCTCTTAAACCTTTTCTTTTATAAGAACATATGCATGCACGCGCATACACACACACACACACACACACACACACACTCCTTTTATCCATCCACATCTGTGCTCCTCTCTACTTTTTTAACAGTCAACCATATTTAGTTAAAAAGTGGTGTTGCCTTCGAGTTGAGCACCACTCATAGCGACCCATGAACAAAAGGCCTGAAGCCTCTCTACAATGATGGACATTGATTACAGTTCATAGAGTTTCCACAGGAATGCTATTTAGGAAGCAGATAGTTTGGGTGAAAGTTTACAAAGCAAATTAATTTTCCATTCCATAACTCATACAGACATTATGTCATCACATTGACTGCAATCACCTTAGTGATTAATCTAACAATACTCTTCCTTCTTCAGCCCTGGGTTCCCCTTTCTCATTCCGCCTTTTTCTCCCACTGCCCCTTCTGCTTTCTTCGCTTTGGGACAAAGTTACCTTTTGATCTTGTGTGGTCAGTTGTTGGGAGGAGTATATTCCTCATGAGTGTTACTGACAGGCCTCACATTTGATTGATGGGCCTGTTGTTTGACTGAAAGGTGATCCTTGAAAGTGTCTAAGGACTAGTCTCAGAGCTTTCACTAGTCTCTATCAGATCAGTAAGCCTGTTCTTTTGTATGATTTTTAATTGCTCTACATTCTCTGTGGTAAATGGGCACCATCTAGTTCTTCTGGTCTCTGGGTATTGTAGAAATAACTGAACTTCTTTAGAAAGTTCTTTATACGATCTTTAATTCCTCGTCTCCCACTAACTCTTCAGTTTACTGAAGTCTTTCTAGGACCAAACTTCAGTGACTTCTATGGATCTTTCCCAGCCATCTTTAAATTTAAACCCAGTTATAGTTAATCACGATTTCCTTCCTGAACCCCCTTTTCACTTCTCTTCTGTGATGTCCTGTATCTTGCCTACCTTTGGAGACCTTTCTCAGCATCTGCTGGTTCAGCCTCCTCTACCTGGCTATTAACTCCTCAAGTCTTCAAGATAGATTTCGCATCCTATTTACTTTCCTTGTCTGAATTTATCCACTCCTATGGATGATGCCCTCATGATACATTCTTTATCTGGAATCATAGTCATAACCATGTAGAAACTGCCTTTGCCTCATCTCTACTT